ATACAGGTTGTTCTGTTTTTCGGTCATAACACACAACTTGTTTTTTTCTAATGAAATACCCTATACAGCTTTACCATTAGTTGATCTCTTCTTAGGCTTTACAACCACAGTTTCCACGTTATTCAAATTTTCTTCAATTTTTTAGCAATAGAAGGTTTCACAAAAAATCCTAGTAGGGTTATTTGTAAAATTTGCGTTACCACATTTTTAAATTTTCCTGTACAAAATATTTATAAAAAATTGGTCTAAAGAGTTTAGACAGTACTTACCTCGCTGTCGGAAACTTGACGACTGCATGCTTATTGTGTTTTTTTTCTCATTACATTTTTGTAGTGGGAATTTAAAAAAAAAATGCGATGACGTCATCAACATTTTTGCAAGGGCACGTCTATCAGTTGGGATAGATGTAGTGTAATGCTACGAATAAAATTATTATATTCTCAAATTTTCGGGAAAATGAACTGGGTCGTTTTGAATATTGATTTGTAATAATCAATAAAATAACGAAACAATTTACTCACGTATACGTATCAGAGGCAACTGAAAATCGTGTATGTATAAACATTCTTAATTTAAGATGACAGGCGTAACAGCATACGTGAGAGTCAAACAGAGAAACTGTAAACAAAACGACCATCGGTTTTATTGCTTCGACTTCCGCTTATTATATAAAACGTTGGGTTTTATTTTAATTCTTGACGGTGAAATTCACAATTGGTTGATTATAAACATGTCTATTTCACATTCGCGGAACCAAGTGAGCGCATAAAACAAATGCAGCTCTGTAATGTTAAAGTCGATGTAAATAAGCGTGCTACCCTTATGTTTCAACCGAGTTTTTCCTTCAACAAATTTTGTGTCTACCAAATTGGGTTGGTTGGGGTGTAATACTAATAATAAGTGTTGCCTTTAATTTAATCAATAAAATAAATTGACTTCATTAATTTTTTTGAACCACCTCTTAAGAAAATCTAAAAAATATGAATGGAATGATAAATCACAAGTACAAACTCATCATATTTTTTGCATTTTAGATAGGATTTATTCAGCAAAATTTAAGGGTGACGTCATCAATTTTTTTAGGAGGGATGAACAAATACATTTTGAACAAAAGTTTACCATGCTTATAATAACTTTAAACTATTCCCAAGATTTCAAAGCATTCGGTTTTGTAATTCCTGATTAAATCGATAAAATAAATTCACGCCTTCATTAATTTTTTTGAGTCACCCTGCATATGCAAATCCAAAAATATGAATGGAATAATAAATCACAAGTACAGACTCATCATATTTTGTACATTTTAGATACGATTTATTCGGCAAACTTTTGAGCTGACGTCATCAGTTTTTTGTAGAAGATAACCAAATATATTTTGACTAAAAATTTATTATGCTCTTTATAACCTTAAAACATCTGCAAGATTTCAAAGCATTCGGTTTTGTAGTTCCTGATTAAATCAATAAAATAAATTTACGCATTCATTAATTTTTTTGAGTCACCCTGTATATGCAAATCTAAAAAATTTGAATGGAATGATAAATCACAAGAAGAGACTCACCATATTTTGTACATTTTAGATAGGATTTATTCAGCAAAATTTTGTGGTGACGTCATAAATTTTTTAGGGGGGACGACCAAATACGTTTTGATCAAAAATTTACCATGCTTATGATAATTTTAAAATATCTTCAAGATTTCGAAGCATTCGGTTTTGTAGTTCCTGAGTAAATCAGTAAAATAAATTTACGCTTTCATTTATTTTCTTGAATCACCCTGTATATGCAAATCCAAAAAATATGAATGGAGTGATAGATCACAAGTACAGACTGATCATATTTTGTACATTTTAGATATGATTTATTCGGCAAATTTTCGAGCTGACGTCATCAAGTTTTTGGAGGGGATAAGCAAATATATTTTGACTAAACATTTATTATGCTCTTTATAACCTTAAAACATCTGCAAGATGTCAGAGCATTCCGTTTTGCAGTTCCTGATTAAATCAATAAAATATATTTACGCATTCATTAATTTTTTTTGAGTCACTCTGTATATGCAAATCCAAAAAATATGAATGGAGTGATAAATGACAAGTACAGGCTCATCATATTTTGTACATTTTAGATATGATTTATTCGGCAAACTTTCGAGCTGACGTCATCAAATTTTTGGAGGGGATAAGCAAATATATTTTGACTAAACATTTATTATGCTCTTTATGACCTTAAAACATCTGCAAGATTTCAGAGCATTCGGTTTTGTAGTTCCTGATTAAATCAATAAAATATATTTACGCATTCATTAATTTTTTTGAGTCACCCTGTATATATGCAAATCAAAAAAATATGAATGGAGTGAGAGATCACAAGTACAGACTCATCATATTTTGTACATTTTAGATATGATTTATTCCACAGACTTTTGAGCTGACGTCATCAAGTTTTTGGAGGGGATAAGCAAATATTTTTTGACTAAAGATTTATGGTGCTCTTTATAGCCTTAAAACATCTGCAACATTTCAAAGCATTCTGGTTAGCAGATTAAAAATTAAATTTCAAAATGTTGTTTTATAATTTTGATTTTTTTCCCAAAAATCTGGACGTTTCGGGTGAAAAGTCGATTCAGAGTTGTAAACTACATGTGTAGTATGTTATTTTATACAATTGAAAACCCATTTACTATGTACAATTTTGAAGTGACGTCATCGCATTAGTGGTGGGGATGATTAGACAAATTTTGGTTAGCGTTTTACCATCTACATGATATTCTTAATATAAGTACAAAATTTCACAACAATCGGTCGAGTACTTTCGGAGATTATCTGTCTAATAAAAATCCGGGACGGCAGACGGACAGACGGACAGACGGACGGACAGACGGACGGACAGACGGACGGACAGACGGACGGACAGACGGACGGACAGTCGGACGGACAGACGGACGGACAGACGGACGGACAGACGGACGGACAGACGGACGGACAGACGGACGAACAGACGGACGGACAGACGGACAGACGGACAGACAGACGGAAATGGGAGACCTATTTCTTCGTCTTCTAGGGGTCATGAAAGATCGAGAAAACGTAAAAGTAGAGAGTCGGCCGACGGACTCGATTACAATACTTCCTTTGCTTACGCTCGGGAAGTAAAATGTTTTAATTATTACAATTTCAAATATCTATATTTAAGTTTTTTCAAATAGAATACCTAACATTTTATTAGTGCAGCTTATTCTTTTTTTTTTTGTTCTTCCTTTATTGCTGAGTGTTTTCTATATTTAAAGTTGATAGTTACTACGAGTTTTAGAGACACATCGACATATTAGAAGAATGACAAAAAATAGAGCAAGATAGTAATAAAATACAGGCTGTTCCTTTTGAAACAACTGAAATATCGATATTTGAAAAGTTTTAATGTTTGTTATGAACACTGTATATTAAAATTTGATTTAGTTGATAGCACAACAAAGCAAAATATTGTTAAGGCAGACGTTACAAATAACCCTATTACATTTTTTATTTTTGTAAATCCTATTCCCAAAAATGTCAAGAAAATTGGAATAACCTGGCAACGTCGTATCCGAATTGCAAAAGTAAACTGTGGTTGTAAAGCCAAAGAAGGTCAATCAAAATATGAAAAATTATATAGGGTGTTTCATTAAAAAAAATCTGTGTAGCGCCTTAAAAACAGAACATTCTATAGAAAATATAATCGTCAAAGAACCTTGGAACTTTGGTTTTTGGAGTCGTGTTATAGAACATGTATACGACGCACGCCGGAATAGGATGTCGAGTTCGACACCGACACCGACACCGGTTTGAACTGAGTGTGAACATAGGCATGTAACGTGGCGCCACATTTTATACAATATTATTATAATAATTAGATATTTCTACATGATAAATAAATAAAAAAAGTATATTTTATAATAAAGAACAATTGACAATACATGGATATTTACATTTTGTCAAAAAATACAAATGCAACATATTTTTGGTTTTTATTATTTTTTAAGAGAAAATTAATGACAACACTCACAAAATGCGAGAATGTGGAGAGCAGAATGTCCTAATTATTTTGAAGAAACGCTATTATACCAAAAAAGTCAGTTACAATTGCAAGGTATCAGAACATTTAAAACAATCAGTGAATATAATTGAAGACCTAGAAGTGAGAATTATAGAACACGTGGCGCACTCTGCGGCTATTGCTCTTTAAATGATTCTTCGTTTTATGCACAATTTTTTAAATCGACATTAAAGTGCAATGTGTACATATAGAATTGTTACAACTCGGCGTTGACGTATAAATGTGAAATTCGTGCTAGCGTCAAACCCAAATGTATTTTTAAATTATGTTTATTTCTGGAAAAAAATCAATGTGCAGCTGTTCACTGGATTGAAGATGATCATTCACATGGTTATTTGCTTTAATAAAATTTCGCTGTCGTAAAACACAAAGTAATTATTCCTCGTCAACATAATAAGAAAAATTCGTGCGTTCCATAACATTAAATAACGAAATGCTCAAACATTTCCATAAATGGCAAAGGTGAAGAGGTATTTAGGTTTTTTGTTTAAATAACGCGATAAAATTGAACTTTGAATGTTTCAGAAAAGTACGCTAACAATATTATGTATCAAAGGTTGTTGTGAAAGAATTTTTTACTTATAATGACAAATAAAAGATCGCACATCAAGTTGGCTTTGAAAGTTCATGAATTTTGCCGTCTCGTTTTGATGATTTACGACTGCTGTCACAAGCGTCAATCATAACCTAACTTTCCTAATCTTTTTCAGTGTATTTCAGCCCGATAGGTAGCCAACAAATAATAATCTATCTCCAGATAGATATGATACCAATTCAATCCCAAGGAAAAAGTGACAGATTTTCCAAAACCAACTTTATGTATGATCTCTTTTGATCACCGTCTAGTTTTTAATTCTATAATTGCCACATTTGGGGAGACATCTAAATAATTGATTTTTTTTGCAGATCCAGTAACCCGATTTTGAGAAAAGAAAAACAACATTGGCAGAAAAACTAATCTCTACGGAACCCAGAGTTTAGAGGCGGCGAAGAATTTATGGGTTTAATTTTATATCCACGTGGTGAGTGTGAATATTTTCGAGTTCTTGTTATAATTTAAATGTCAAATGTTTTCAAAAAGCCGTTAAATTAATGTATTCGGTATTACAATAGTTTTCGTTTTCTTCAAAAACCAAAAAATTTTAAAACGAGGATTTCAAAATCTAGTATGTAACACAATGCGTTAATTATGAATTCCATTTTCTTTAATTGTTCGTTGTTCGAAATTAAATCGTCGTTAAATTTCCATTTAACATTTTTATTTTATTTAAATTGAAAATTGAAATCTAAAATGTCGTAAAAATTAACTAATAATAATTAAAATTCGAGCGCTATAAACTTGAACGGCTTGTCATAAGAAACTCTATAAAACGTAAGCTTTTTATTGTCCATAAATTGTCAACCTTATTCTAATGAAATGGGATAATTTAAAGGACCGTTTCTGAGGGATCGTCATTTTTAATTCGTTTTTAGTATTTTAATCGGTCCTAAACGGAAATCCTCGGTAAATTAATATTAGATATCCGATGAAAGTTGTAATCATTGTGAAGAAATTTTTAACGTAATCAAGACGTGTTTGAGCAATGATAAATGCACGGTTTACAAAACTCGGAAAATTTTGCCCATAACCATTGATACTTCGACGTAAACTTTGTTTGAAAGATGTCACCAAGGGAGTTAACAGCCAGTGACCATTTCTCATTGTTATTCCACATCTAAATCCGACTTGCAATCTACTTTTAACCCAATGGAGAGCAAACCAAGTCAAATTCACTCGGACATAATCCCAATTCATGGTGCATATAAACTTATTGAACTCGAATAAGATAACGTCTCCTTCAACAATAAACTCCAGAACAAGATACCTGAACTTTAGAGAAACTTGCATTCAGCAGATGCTAAGTAATTCTAGACATTCGAAAATTTTTTGTCGACCCTCCTCCATAAATTACCCGAGTACATTATGGTGTGTTTTTGTCGGGCTATTATGTACATAATTGTCAGATAATAAATCATTTCGCGTAAATAACTTTGACAGACAGTTTATTGTTGCTATTATGTAAAAATTCAATAACGAAAATAGAGCACGATTTAACTGAAATTTAATGAAAATACTGACGTTCTAATATATACGACATATTTATTTTATCGCTGCCAGCTTTAAATTCGCGTTCATTGATCAATTTATGATAGGGCCGATGGTCCACCCCCGAGGGATGTTAAATCACACCTCATTATTGAAGTTAAAATGTCACTGTAATGAAATATGAATGCCTGGTACTGTGCATAACGCTTGTGAGCCAATTAGTGTTCGGAAATCTCAGAGGATGGAAATTTTGATGTTTGATGTGTCAACTTTAATGTTATTACGATTGCTTTATTATGAACATTAAATTTGAAATTGGTGGTGTCGTTGGAAATTAAATTTGTTAAATTTAGCGGATCAAAGAGACGCTTTATTTTTAGAAGGGTCGATTTGAGTTAGATACTGCTAATTTTGAACTGACAAGCGAAAAATCGTCGCTTAGATTTTAGAGTGTGGGTGTAATTTATAAAAAGTCGAGTGATGTTCTCGTAATCTTTCTTCATACATTCACACGTGAAAACTTGGTTTTGACAGCAATATATTTAGCCTAATTTAGCTTACGACTATTTTTATGTAGCAGTGTTCGTGCTTGAACTAAATTTATGTCGGTATGATATATTTATGAATATGCAGCCACAAATGTCAGGGCTTGTATGTGGGAGACGTTTTCGTGTACTTAGAATGTCATGATTTTCGGAAAGAGGATGTTTATGGGTTTATAAATAACGAAAAGACATAAGTCAGGGAGTTTTATCATGTAGCTGAAGGGAAGTGATTAATGTGTTCGAAGTTTTGTACGATACTCCAAAAGATTTTGTATTGAACTTCGAAAAAATATTGTATGAACTTGGAATTGTTTGAGAAGAAATAATATTTGTTGTGTGTCAAATATTGCACTTTTTCCTAAATAAAATCCTGATTTGTTTACTTTTCTCTTAGTACGACCTACAACAACTTTGTTTACCCTGTGACGTTGAAACTTGGAGAGAAGTGAGTGATAATGGATTGAATATTTCTGGATCATAACAAACTAACTTTTCATGTTTAACCATGAGTGCTATTTTTCATTCTTGTTTATTCAACAGTGGTCCCTCTTCTAAAAATAGGAACTGGTGGTGACAAATTAATTTATTAAATTGGAACTGTTTTGTTTCTCATAGGAAGACAGGTTTAAAAAAACTGTAATAGTGTTACCTAACTTGTAGATGATATACGTGGATTTAACATTAAAAGCCATATCAACGTAATCGCATCAAACCTTCTCTGTTTTAAAGTTAAGCGTTTGTGTTTCAAGTGTCTAAATTAAATTACTTTCGAACATTATTTATGGAGAGGGCCAAACTTTTGTTACGGATTTATTTACTCAGGGACTACGAAAGCTTGTTAATCTAAAGCATTACGAATCTAAATCTAAAAACTTTTTTAATATCTTTCATTGATATTTGTTTTTAAAGCATCGATCGGCGATGTATTGGAGAACGATCTCATTCTAGAACGTCCTGCAATTTCGTAAACTTAAAATTCAAGGCGTTTGTTTCGAGATTTCCGAAAAGTCGACAGAATCTGTATTACTCGTTTATTAAATCATTCCTGCTTTAATGCAAATTTGCTACGTGAGATTTTAGGCTGTCGCGAGGTGACGCTTTAAAAGGTGTTTTAAAGCTGAATTTTCATGCGTTTCACACTTGACCAGTATGTTGAAAAGTAGGAAAAACTTTGGCTGTAGGCATAATTGACTAGATATCGTTAATAAAAGAGCCTTTTGCTCTTAATATTGGTCGGCACACATCTCATTCCCTCTCTATTCAGCTGTCTTCAGTCACTCTAATACCGAATTAGCTCCGAACTACTTCTCACAAGTGGAACGATTTTTTGGGAAGGAATCCTTTAATTGACCTTGGCAGAGATAAAACAATCGCTTAATTTACTTCAAATTCATCGCAAGTTCAACGCGAATTCACGAATTCTGTGGAAGTTCGTGGAGAATACGCAGAGTCCATGTCCAAGTTCAATCGAAGTGTACACAAGAATTCACGCGAACAACTTCGCAGTTTAGTACCTAGCAGCGACAATCCAAGGATTTTTTTTTACTGATTTACATGCATTTTCGTCGACCCATTTTTAAAAGCACATCTGATGCATAATTGGATTAGGAAGGAAGCTCGGCCATAAAAGCACTAGTTAAATTTTTATGAGGAAAAGCCCGCTTTTAACGAAATTTCACATATTGTCGCTGATCTGTTAAAACCTCGTATCTCTAAAGCATCAAGTTGTCAGGAACCATAAAACTTAACATTTTTAACACTTGAAAATGTGATTAGTTGGGCAGGATAGAATTTGCGGCTTTGGGGATTTATTTTACATCTTGTAATTTCGTGTTTTCGCATATTAAATGTTTACGGTATATTTAAGATAGTCGCACTGTTCGTATTTCTGAAAATTGATGCAGTTTCGCGCATGGGTCAGTTGCACGCCACGGTCCTATGCGCACAACGGTCAGAAAATTTTGCAAATAATTTTAAGCAATTATTTTTGTACAAATCTGTAAGCAACATTTTTTACACAAGCAGATTTGCTGATGTTTTTATCTCTGTACTGTTTGATTTTTTCAAAAATCTGCACTTGTAGGGTTAAAAATATAGGTACATTGATAAACAACAAGTGTAGATGCAGTTATTTTGCATATAGATGATGAGTCCACGAGAACACAGTCAAGTTGCGCCGGAATTATTGTGTACATAATCGTTGTGTAATAATCAGTCGTGTAATTGGAGTTATTAAGAAATAAATTGTTGAGTTTTACCCACGCCGATTTTAATCACCCGTTCAACGTAGCAGGATCTAGTAAATAAGAGAATAATTCTTACTAGCCTTATTTTCTCGAGAAGTGCCTCATTGCATTTGAGGTATAAGTATGAATTTTAATAAACCCGTCTCTAAAGTATCTCTGAACATGAGCTTCAGTCTTTTTCAAATATGAATCTCTCATTTGGCGACTTTCAATGAATAAGTTCTCATATAAAAACATGTTATTCCTTTAGACATGACTATGAATGCGTCCTGTATGTACGTACGATTTTATAACGATGTGTAGATATTAAAAGAAATGTTTTTGTACTGGTTGGTAAAATCCGTCTATATTACAATTTTTCAGGTTTGAAAAATATGTGCCTATTGTGCGTTCCGGTTTCACTTGGGAGCGTATAAAGCTCGTATGCAATGCATTTTAAATGGGAGAATTTGCGGTGGTGTTGTCAATTATCGAAAAACCTTCCGGTTTCTGAAGCAGTTGATACATGAATCTTACACAAATAATCATAAAGTTTGTGTCGTTCCGCTTCTATTCGTGTTAAAATTTGATTTCCATAATTTTAAAATTGCGCTTTTTGGTTTTTATCACGTCATATAAATAATAGTAATATAACCAAACCAAAATTCAAGAAATAATTGGATTTACTATGAAATTTTAATATATTATATCATGGATCATCAATGGATTTAGTTTAATTTGGTATACAACGCTTGCTTGCGGTTTTTCCCTTTTATTTAGTCAAAGACATCATATCAGTTTCCATAATCCACGGCTAAATAAACCAATACCGTTGTTGTTAAATATGTAATTCAAAATTCCTGTAATGTGAGATACAAAGTTCTGATATCTCAGCCTTGATCCACCCAAACAACCTTCTTCCTCCATAAAACCTCGATCGTTCCCAAGCAACGCTGGCCTCGCTTTTGGCTCTGTTAAATTTTACTCTCGAGCGACCCAATTACACACCGATTCTACACCTCGATAATGTAAATTTCCAAATATCAAAGTAAAATTTTACGCCGCTTTCGATTGTGTGGGATATTAGAAAAGGAGAATTTTCCTCTCTCGCAACCGCCCGCCACGTTCGTCGACCGGCTTTTCCCTCGCAGCAACGAAACCGTTTA